CGGCAAGTTTTTATCATAAAATAAGACAGAATTTTCAGCACGCTGTAAATTCCGAACTCTATCCAAAACCAATTTAACATCTTCGGGCAGCTGAAGATAAAGCAACTCACTCGCATCACGTAATTCACTATGAATATCAGTTAAACTCGAACGCGTACCACAACTATAGGCAACATAATTAGAATCTTGAATATTTGAGGAAGAAACCGGATTGTTATCATTAGTTAAAGAGTCACGGGAAGATATGGCAGTATTTTGAGATTTAACGATCTTTGAGGAAGACCGAGCATCATTAAAGATATTTCCCAATTTTTTAACGCTTCTCCAAGTCATAATTAATAAATAATAAAAATTCTTTATGGAGAAAAAAAAAATACTTTAAAGAAATTAAAATTCTCAAAAAGTTTTACAATAGGTAAATTTGGGACGATTATATGTAATTCTGTCGTGCCGCAGAAAATGTTTAATGAAAAAACGTGGCAATTTTACGATATATTAAAATGGATGAAATGCACTTTTTTGTTTCAAAAAAAATTTTTTGTCAAAAATAACGATAAGAATATCGAAATATATATAAAATATAAATAAATGAATATATTATATATATATAATTTATATATATATATATATGTAGAATTAATGGGAGTGCAGCAACTAATATATGTATAAAGGAAGAGATAAAGAGAGTGATGGTACGTATGATGGATGAAAAAGAATGGTGGATGGAATGAACAAAAAAATATGAAACTTTAGCGTGATTTTATGTAAAATTTGCATAATTAAAAAAAACGAAATCATGGGTTTATCTAAAAATTATGAATTAAAAATCTAGATTTTTTTTTTTTTTCGCGCCTTCAGCTTTACGACTATTACAAATAAAGATATATAAAGTATATATAATATATGTAGTATATAGTATCTATGATATAAAAGGTTAAGTCAATTCATATAAACACTTGCTAAGTTTGAAAGAAAAGATTAAAGAATATTAATATATCAAGGAGGGCACGAGAAAGAAAGGAAAGAAAAAAGGGGATGAGAAGCTGAGGATCGGAAAAGGCGGCAAAGGAGTTTTATAAAGTATTCTAGGAGGTAAATGCAAAAATTACATGAAAACCCACAGACATCAATGTTCCAATT